TGGGCTGGAAAGCCCTTACAATTTCCTTTGGTAGAGGGGTAGAGGTAGCTTTGGGCAGGAAGTCACTTTGGGCTGGATAGCCCTACAAGGTGAATGGTTTGCGTTTGCAATTTCTGCCTGCAGGAGTCTCAGAGGAGCACTTCCTCGAGCGACTCACTGAGGGCATGAGTGACCACCTCGTAGCTCAAATGCAGATCCCACAAGCATGGCAAAGTGAAGAAGCAGGAGGATCTGGCAAAGGCCCTGGTTGCTCTGGAGTGGTGGCACCTGCAAAAGGTGGAAAGGGTGGAAAGGGTGAAGGTGGCAAGGGTGAAGGTAGGGTGAAGCTGGAAAGGGTGAAGGTGGAAAGGGTGAAGATGGAAAGGGTGAAGGAGGAAAGGGTGATGGACATGCTGCTGAAGAAGAAGGACCAGGGAAAGGTGCTGGTGGTGGAAAAGGAGAACATGCACATGATGGGGGTGCTGGTAAACAGCAACAGCAGCAGCAGCAAATGCTGAAGAAGCAGCAACAGGAGGCAGCGCTGAAGCCTGGACATCATGGCATGGAGGAAAAGGGTGGCAAGAATCATATTGGTGTTGGATGTAGTTTGGTTGCCATTTATACATATGTTTTTGATTTATTTGTAAGATTGAAAAACCAACACTTGGTTGTTTGAGTGCTGTGTGCTCATCATGCTTTCAGGAGGTCAGAGGACCTACCAGACTTCGTGGGGGCACCAGATGAGTTCTGGATGAGGATGTATCGCTTGGAGCTCGATTGGGTGATGATCCCTTGCATCTGGCTGCATCAGTGTTAGGCTGGATAGCCTATAGAGTTGGCTGGAGAGCCATTTTTGTTAGGCTGGACAGCCTGTAGAGTTGGCTGGAAGGCCATTTGTGTTAGGCTGGATAGCCTGTAGAGTTGGCTGGAAAGCCATTTTTGTTAGGCTGGATAGCCTGTAGAGTTGGCTGGAAAGCCATTTTTTGTTAGGCTGGATAGCCTAAACAAATTCCAATTATCTAAGGCAGAGAATGCAAATTCATCAGCTATGTCACCAAGAAGAGCTGCCTCAGGGCAGCTAGCTGCAGAGGGCGCATGAGAAACTTGTTTGCATATGTCCTTGAAACAATGGCTGGATTGCCCTCTATATTTGAAAGAAAATTCAAAGGCTAGCAAACCCTGCATGTAATATTGGCTGGATAGGCTGTGTGTTTGTCATTTGTTCATCCAAGGAGTTGGACGCAATTCCTACAGAGGCTTTGGCAGGGCCTGTGACTTCATTCGAAATGTCAGAGATGTCCAAGAGTATGAGCTGCTTACTGAGCTTGAGTGGGCCATAAAATGGGTAAGCCCTGGCACAGAAGAATTGGTGGTGTTTTAATTTGGAGCTTTCCATCACTTTGTACAGTTGATTGTTGTCTTTCACTACTTGTATGTTCTTTGAGAGACCAAAGCCAATTCAATAGGGGCAAGCCTGGTGCAAAAGACTGGCTGGGCTGGAAAGCCCAATTTTATGAGTGAAATGACTCATAATAGTTTGAGACACTTGACATTTGTGCTTTATATATATAAGTGAAGTAAGCTTCACTCTACCATTGTTTTTGAAAGCTTTTGAGAAGTTCAGCCAGTCCATGAGGGCTTTCATTTTCACAAGGCTGGATTAGCCTGGACCTATGAACATAACTGCACAAGACACTTTCAAAAGAGGAAGTGCAAAATGGTGTGGGGTTGGGCCATGAAATAGGGTTGACTTGGGCTGGAGAGCCCATGAAAAAATACATATGTGCTGGAGAGCCCATGAACAGTGAGACACTTACAAGTCGTGGGCTGGAGAGCCCATGAAGAAAAAAACTGGGCCGGAGAGCCCATGAAAGACTTAGAATGTTTGGGCTGGATAGCCCATTGAAGTTGGGAAATCACTGTGCTTTCAATCATTGGGCTGGAGAGCCTCTGTATAATTTGTAAGTATTTTGGCTGGAGAGCCAATTAAAAAGTGAAGTGCCAATTAAAAAGTGAAGTGATTGGGCTGGAGAGCCCATGGAATATTTAAAGTGGAT